TCCTAATTATATTTTAGATTTTTTATATTTAAAATGAGATGTTTATCCTGTATTTGATTGTGTTTATCTGCAGTTAGTTACACGAATTCAGTTATGGAATGAAATCGGATAGGGATGAAATTGTTTAGGGATGAACGGGTTTAAGAGTTTTAAGGGGCTGTTTACCAAATTTTTCATTAAGTTCTGTATGGATAAATTTGTCTGTCCAGATAAATTTGTTTGTCTAGATAAAAATTTATTGTTGTTTACTTTTTTTCTGAATTAACCGTCTGAAAGATATAAATGACCGTTTTACCCTTAATACCAAAAATCATCAGATTAATATATTTATAAAAAAATAAAGAAAAATCAACAATAGGTGATCCAGAAACTTCAACAAACCCATTCGATTTTGATTGAAACCTACAAGAATCCAAATTTTGAAGAAACTTCAAATAATTTTGGTGATGCAGGGGAGTTCAAATAGGTAATCGATTTTAGAGAAGAGGGTTTCATATTTGGGTATTAAGGTTCCGATTTTGGGTTTTTGTTCTTGGTGATGCGTCGAAGTCGAGAAAGATGAGGAGAGAGATGATGGAAGGAAATGAAGGTTTCGATCTGGAAGGAGATGAAGGTTTCGATCTGGAAGGAGATGCAGGTTTCGATCTGGAAGAAGATGAAGGTTTCGATCTGGAAGGAGATGCAGGTTTCGATCTAGAAGAAGATGCAGGTTTCGATCTGGAAAAACTATACGAAGGTTTCGATCTGGAAGGAGATGAAGGTTTCGATCTGGAAAAACTATACGAATGTTTCGATCTGGAAGATGATACGAAGCTCTTGGGAAGAAAGAAACGTGCAAGGCTTTTTTTTTCCCAGGGGTAGGGAAGGTAAACTTTATGGCTGAAGGGGGACAAGTGAGCCTACCCAACTGTGCGAATAAGCCGGTATATTTTCAATTAAGCCCTAAGTAAACACTCTATTATGGCTGTGTGAATATGTCGGTTGAACCATTAAGCCTATTAAGTCACAAGTAAACAGCCCCAGTTTAATAGTTTTTAAGAGTTTTAGTCAAATGTTTTATAATATAGTATAAATATAAATACCACATATATATAAAATGAGGTGTTTAAGCTTTTTGGTGTTTTGTGAGGAAAAGTAATGCTAAAAATAAGCAGAAAAAGTTTCAGAAATAAATCCAAAAGTGAAGGAAACTTAAATTAGTTAATTAATAGATATACATATAGAGCCAAAATAAGGCAACAGCCCACTCCCCTCTCAACACCATACATATATTATATATGCATACATATATTATATATCTATCTTCACCATGACTCTTAAGAGTTTACATTGCCATAGATCTACCACCAATGTAGCTTTCATCAATCTTTGAGCAAGAAATGGGGCATCATCATCATCATCATCGCAAAACCCCCAAATCATACACCCTGCCATCCTCCCCCACCCACTCCTCCTCCTCTTCCGATTTCGAATTCACCATCTCTCTTTCACCTCCCAAATCCTCCGCCACCAATCTCTGCCCTGCCGACGACCTCTTCTACAAAGGCCAACTCCTTCCCCTCCATCTCTCCCCTCGCATCTCCATGGTCCGAACCCTCCTCCTCTCTTCCTCCTCCACCTCTTCCTCCGCCACTACCACCACCACCGCCCGCCACTCCTCCGACTCCCATTCCTCTTTCTCAACCGACGCCTGCGATTCCTCTCGCCCTAGCTCCGTCACCGACGACGATCTTCACTTGCAAACCAAATTATTCCCTTCTTGTATCACCAATCAACACAAAAAACCCAATAAGTACTTCTCCTTATCTAGATTCTCCTCCGTTTTTCGTAAGGAAACAAAACCCACAACCACCGCCCGTGTTGACCCGGATGTTATAACCGGATCCTCCGTTAAGCGCATGAGCGTGACAGCCAAAGAAGTGATACGGAAATACCTAAAAAAAGCCAAACCGTTGTACGAAAAGCTATCGCAGAGGCAGGGCCAGGCTATTCACGTTCCGAAAACGTCTCCTCCTCCACAGATCACAAGGAACAACAACAACAAAGAAAATGACGTAATCTCTCACTCGTTTTCTGGAAATCTACGGTACCCTAGAAGGAGAAGCTGCGTATCAAGCTGCCCGTCGTCGATGCGGTCGTCTCCGACTCACTCCGGGATTCTCTGCCGTAAAAGTGCGGTAAAAGACGTGGGAGGTATCTATTCGAGCAGCTCTTCATCCATGGAGGAATTGCAGAGCGCGATTCAAGGGGCGATAGCGCATTGCAAGAACTCCATGACTCAAAACTGCTAGAAAGAATTATAACGTCGTACAACTTGATTTGCGCAAGGTACAAGTCATTAACAACGCTTGTTTGTGATCTCGTCGATCTGACTGTTTTTGTAGATCACTAATTAATCGGTAGTACTGAAAATCATTTATTACTAAGACTTATTTAATAATTTCTTTTTTATTATTTGTTTTCTTGCAAAACCTTCCTTTTTTTTAAGCAACGGATACTTTTCGGTGTATGTTATTAGATTTATTAGTTTCGTTTGGTTTGATATTTTTATATTTTGATTTATTTCAACCAAATGTCATTTTTAGTATCACATAAAAACTAATCACATTTTAGTTGTTTATCAAATACTTATCATATGTCATTTAATTTTGGGATGAATTTTATAAGGATCAAGAATCTTATTCGGTAAGTCAGAAAGAAGAATCTTACGTAGTAAGGTACCAATGATCCATTTTGATAGCAAGAATGTTATCCTATAAGGTAAGTGATGATTGTGATTTATACCGTAAGAGCCTACTCGATAAATGTTCAATAAACAACCCTTGATGAGTTATTTGTTTGGAATTAAGTGTAAGATTGTTTTTAAGATGGTTACTCCAACCACATTTTCTAATTTGATACTTACTAGAAAGTTACTCGCATAATGTAGCTCGTACAATGCAGCGAGATGTATTTCAATTTTAATGTTTCGTTTTGCTTCGGCTTGTTTCGTCTCTGTAGATATTATAATATGGTTTTGAGAAAAGGATAATATTTTTATTTTTGAATAAAAATATAAATTTGAAAATATCATAAAATTTCGAAAATAAATATATCAATATTAGTATTAAATTAAGTATTTAAAAGTTCTTGCTTTTGTGTAATTTCTTTAATTCAGTTCTTTTATTATTATTTAATTTAAATTTAATAACGAAGTAATTTATTTTTAATTTAATAATATAATTTTTTATAAATATAAGAATTAAGTGTTTTATTATAACTCAATGATTATCTTAATTATATTTAAGATTTTTATATTTAAAATAGAATATTTATCTTGTATTTGACTACATTTATCTATAGCTAGTTACACGAATTCAAACATAAAATTTTAATAAGTTGTACTTGTAATCTTGAACAGTATTTCATGCATAAAAAATGAGTTTTAAGAGTTTTTGTCAAATATTTTATAATATAGTATAGATATGTTGTCGTAATAAAAAAAATAAATTATTAATAGATATTTTAAATATTAATAATACAAATAATATAGATATGTTTTAGGAAGCCGTCCATGAGTAGATAAATGGAAATAATGTAAATTAGGGGCACGGATGATTGGATTAATGATTTTTTGATTTTGGTTCCCTACAGTAACTAAAAAATGGATGTAGAGAGTGTGTTCAGAGTTGGGTTCCACCGAGAAGAGAAATTATGGTGAAAAATGTAAGAAAAGATCATTCTTGGATCAATCCTAATTAAATGTGAACACTAATGAGGTGTACTAGATCAATTCTATTCTAAAACACAATTCATGGATGGACATTAGATTAAAAGTGATCAAGGGTTTAAATATTTTCTTATGCCGGTGAGACAAAGATAGGTGTAATGTGATCGTGATGTCAGTTAAGTTATGTAACATGTCTTCCTATTAATTTTGTGGTCTAATGTAATGTCTATTTGCTTATTTGCATGGATGTTTGCTCATTTTATTTTCTATTAACTTCTTGTGCAAGCAAGAGTTCTTTTTTTTTTTTTCGAAAAATAAGATCTCTATTCTTTCGAATACATGTTAAGTCTATGTACAGCTTAACATTTAAACCACACCTGTGTGATTTGCTTAATGCGTTTAGTTTGATTCCATAATATATTCAACATGCTTAAAATAAGTATTAAAATTTGAGATTATAATAATTAACTTTTACTAGTAGAAAAATAATGTATATTGTTATTTTTTATTAATTTATTTAACTTACAAATTTTCAAATATATATATATATATATATATATATATATTTGTGTGTGTGTAATAGGGATAGGTTATTTGCATACCTTAATATTTATACAAACTATATAAATTTAAATCAACCAATCAAAAAAAAATATTTTTAAAACTTTTTTAAATCTAAGGACTAATTCGTCATTTTTGTGTTTAATAGTTAATTATGGTAATTACAACCCCTTGACATTTTGGGATTTTCATAAACGTAACCATTTATTAATAGAAAAAAATTATCATTATTTTCCTATTCGATCATTTTCATTATTTTTAGCAATGAAAGAGGAAATATAACACCGCTCAACAATGAAACATGAAGTATGAAACAATTATTTAATTTTTTTTTCGTACAATGGAACATGAAAACCCCTATTTTATGAACGAAACATGAAATATGAAACCAATATTTCATTATTTCAACAATGAAACATGAATGAAATTGGATTTTGTCGAATGAAATTGAGTTATATGTATATGGTATCATGTCTGGTTTTATGAACACAATCGATTAAAAGTTTTGTATTTTTCGTCGATTGGTGGATAATAAAGATTAACTAGGAGTGATAATGTGTAAGCAGTTTTCTTTCATGTCTTATGATAAATGAACAAGGCTCAATTATGTTTGCTCATTTTATCATTCCACATTAACAAACCTTATTATAAATAATTGGAAGTAAATAGTTGTGATCTCAATCAACGGCTTGTAAAATTTGTATAAATAAAGAGATGATTTTAACATATGTGATGTATGGATGGTTGTTTGTTAATGGGGTGATGGAGTTAAAATTAATTAGAGTTGATGTGTTTATTTAATATTATATAACATAATATATAATATATATTTGTTAATAATGAGGAAATAATTGAATGAGGTCCACGTTCCATGTGCGACTGCTAGATTTACGATGCTTATCTCACTCTATACTTGTACTCTACCTCCTCGCTTTGATAATAACGCCAATTTATTAACAACCATTTTACTCCTTTCATATTAATAATTAATACTATTTCTCATTTATTTATTTATATATATATATATATAGAGAGAGAGAGAGAGTTGGGTTCTAGTGTGCAATTAGAGATCAGGTCGTTGCGATTATAGACCTGAGTCAAATCTGATAAAAAAATAATTATATTTTCTTTTGGTTGAGTCCACAAATGACACAGGTAATAATATTTAGATAAATCAAGAAGAAAAAATGGTTAAAAAAACCAATTTATAAGTAAAAAATTACTAGTTTAACCAATTTCCCATGAGATATGGTAAACGTACGGCACTTTAATTTGTAGGTTGGCTGTGAAAGATAGAGTTGGTGCCTTTGTTGTGCACCAATTGCTGTGTTAAACACACCATACTTAAAATGGTACTACATTGATTGAGGTTGTAGAAATCCATTAATTACTATTTGGCCATATGACACGTGGTGCATGCCGCTAGGCTCCTTTAAGATCATTGATTTCAAAAGAGGCTTCATTAAATATAAAGTAAAATATAAATTTGGTATTTTAACACTTTTCATCCCTACAGTTTTGAAATTATAAGATGGTCATTGTGATTTGTAAAAGCATCTGAATATGATTCATCCTTTTAATGAACGTTAAAAAATCCAGTAAACAAAGTCAGTTTTGTCTTTTTAGGTTTTTATTTTATTTTCTAATAAATTTAAAAAAATCTAACTTCATCCACTAAAACAATGACGTGAGTTGGAAAAGAGCGTCTCAACTTTATTTCAATATGAATGTGAGAGAAACAAATTTTTGGGATGATAGATGGTTTGCAAACAATAAATTTCGAGACAAGTTTAATCGTCTTTATCAATTGGAAACAGTTAAAAATGCTAATATTTGGATAGAGGAGAATGGCAAGGTGACTCTTGGGATATGGAAATGGGGATGGAGGAGGGAGCCGAGAGGTATGGAAATTGGAAAATTAGAAGAGCTAAAAAGGGTAATTCGATATTGGAGTCCAAGTGTATCTAGAAAGGATTAAGGAAAATGGTGGCTAGCCGCAGATGGAGTCTTTTCGGTCCAGAAACTTTGCAATTTAGTAGAGGTGAATCGTGGTGAGGCTGGAGAAAATATTGAGGAGATCATATGGATCAAATCAATGCCAAAGAAATTTTTTATCTTCATGTGGAGAGCTAGGCTTGGAAGGATACCTTGCAGATCGGAATATAATAAGATGAGAATAGATCTTCATTCTATACTTTGTCCACGATGTGAATTATCGATAGAAATGGTGGATCACACTTTAGTAAATTGTTAGGAAGTCTGTAAAATGTGGCAAGAAGTTTTCAAGTGGTGGACCGGAGATGCAGGTGAGATTTCAAAATTAAGAGACCTGTTAAACAAAGAAAAGCATACGAGTGGAAATTTCGATCAGTCACGACAGTGGACAGCAGTAGCGTGGTCAGTTTTATATTTGATTTGGTCTCATCGAAATAATTTAGTTTTCGAGGAAAAAAAAGTCGTTGTATATGTTGTTTGAATTCCAATTGAAAAGCTTCGAATGGATTGCTAGAAGGGTCTAAAATAGTAAGTTAGATTGGGTTTCATGGATTTCTTCTCCAAATGTCAGCCACACTAAAGTTGCGCTTTTTGAGTTGGACAAGTTTGAGCACTTTGAAGATTCTATGAAGTAGGCTCATTTCTCTGTATTTGTTTGTAGGGGGGGGGGCGATAAAAGGTTCCTTTGTATGTTGTATGTGATTTTCGTAGGTTTGCACCTTGTTCTGCACTTTTTGGTAGTTGAATTTTTGTTCTTGTAGTTTGTACTGGTGGTTTAATGGTAATGGTATTGCTTTTCAGGAAAAAAAAATCCACTAAAACAATGTAATGTACATCTTCCTCTACCACCAAAAACTACCACACCCTTTTCCACTTACCACTTTTCCAGCCATCTTCTCCGGCCAAACCTCCGACCAATTTTTTTGGCCATCTTCTCAGACCAAACTCAACCCTTTTTGGTCATCTTCTCTGGCCAAACCTTCGACCAATTTTTTCGGTCGTCTTCTGCAGACAAACTCAACACTTTTCGATCATCTTCTCCGGTCAATCTCAAATTCAAGTAGTAACATCAAAATGAAGCCCAAACACTAAAATAAAAAAACAAAATTAAAACCAAACCCAACTGAAACCAAAACCCTAAAATCAAAGTCAAAATC